CTGCCTACATCTCCCACCTCCTTCGTCTCTCCTCCCACCTCTCATCTGTGTATGGTTGTACGGGGCCTGAGCATCGTCTATGGTTGGCTCAGACCCCACCATCTCACGATTGTTTGTGTTGAGTGATATCTGTATGAGTCAGTCTATGTGAGTCAGTCCATTTATCAGACTTCCGCTGCATATACATGCTCATCCTATATTGGTTGATCTTTGGTTCTGCCCATACTTGTTGAAGTATTCACGAGTATGCAACAGTTTTGGTATCGGAGCAGACCAATCAATGGATCTGCTCACAAGGTAATTCTGATTAGGGAATAGATTGCTTATTCGATTTTCCAAATCAGTTCTGCATTACTATCGAGATTCAAAGTTGCAAATTTTTTTTTCTTCGGTATTCTGTTTTAATTCGCCATTCCGTTTCAATTCGGTATTCCGATTTTCAATTCGGGATTCTGTTTTAATCCGGTAGTCTGTTTAATTCGGTATTCTGTTAATTGATATTCTGCTTAATTCGATATACTGTTTTAATTCGGTTTTCTGATTTCAATTCAGCATTCTGTTTTAATTCAGCATTCTGTTTTAATCCGGTATTCTGTTTTAATCGGCATTCTGTTTGATTTCAGTATTGGAACTAGGGTTGCGATAAAATTTCGGTTTTTCATTCAAATTGGGAAATTCGCATGTTTTTGGAACCGTAAAACCAGAAATGCCGCAAAATCGCGGAAAATTAGGGTTGGAATCCGAAATTTTCGCGATTTTTTTTTTTTTTTTTTTTTTCCTAATTGTGAATTTCCGAATACGGACTTTCGGCCTTCTGAAAAATCGGACCTGTTAGGTTGAAATTCCCGAAATTTCACGTTTTTTTGGAATTTCGAGTGTTTCTCTTTCTAACTATCCGAAATTTTTTCAGTAGCAACCTGTTTGGAATCGTTACCTCAGAACTGCAACTTCCGGGTAGTTCACTAACAAACGGTGAACTCCCGGACCATAGGTGATCTCAACGGATACCTAATCTTTATTATTGCAATTAATTGATTATTATTAAGAGATTATTAATTCGTTATTAATCATTAATTAAATTTTATTGATTATTAATTCGTTATTATTTCTTATTTCGAATTTTAAAGTTGTTTTTGGGGGAAAGTTCAGCTTTTTCTTTTGATTAGGTGTCTAGTCCACATTGGGACAGGGGATTGTATGTGAATTGTTTGATCTGTTCTACCCCTGTTCCCACCCTCCCTACCCTCCCCGCAATCTGTGATCACCGGGACTTCTCAAGTACCACATCAGCTCAAGCTGATGTCGATGGAACAGGACACCGGGGCACTGCCACGACGCAGTGCCAGGCTCGCAGTTCGCAGCCACTCTGTGGTACCTCCACGAACTAAGTATCAGCAACAGCGACTCAGCAGGCGCACGACTCCAGCGGCATCGAGTACAGCAACTGCAGTGCCGGTTACCACCGGGGCTCTTCCCGCATGTCCGGTCCAAAGGGACCTCAAGCCGTTGTCAGATTACCTTCAGTGGTTACAGGCATTTACAGATGCCGTCGCTACCGCTAAGGCACAGCAGGAGGCAGCAGAGGCGGAACGTCAGCAGCAGCCCAAGCTCAGCGGACTGCTGAGGCTGACGCAGCGGCTCGAGACAGACGGAATGCCGCCAGCACTGAGTCCCTGATTCAAAATGAGAATCAGTGGACAACGCTAGTGATGTGGAATAACACAATGCTGCAGGTACACCTGCTCACGGACCGACAGCACAGACAGAAGCAGCAGCAAGATACTGCCACTTTAACAGCTGCTGTCCGTGCAGCAGCAACACAGCAGCAGCAACAGCAGCAGCTGTTGAACTCCACTCTCACACGCGTCAACAGCATCGAGGCTCAGGCCTCAGCAGCACCAGGCTGCACGACAGACACGGCGAAGCAGCTCGGGGAGCGCATCGACCATGTCGTCACTATTATTGGCGAACTAGGTGATTTCACTAGTCCGGCCACGATCAGCAGCATGGTGGCCGCCATAAAGACGGACATCACCAAACTGCAGACAAGACCGGACGCCGCTCCAAAGGCATACAAGATGCCGCGCTTCAACATCGGCAAGTTTGACGACTACAACAAGACGGACGCCTTGACATGGTGGCAAAGCTTCCTCACTGAAGCATCCTGCCACACGGTACCGCCCGAAGACATGATGAAAGTGCTCTACCTCCAACTTATTGGAGAAGCACAGGCATGGATGAACCATCTCGCGGCCAATCGGAAATGCACCATCGCCCAACTCCACACGCACATTCCGTGGAAGGAGTTCGAGCAACTGTGGTTCACTCAATTCATGGTCCGCAACGCTGTAAAGGCGGCCATGAACGAGGTCTACACCAGCTCACAAGGAAACATGCCAACTCGAGACTGGACGATCAAGTGGCAGAAGATCGTAACCACTGCAGGCTTCGACTTGAGTTTTCCAAACCAACGATCCGAATTCTTTTCGCGATCGTGCGCAGGACTGCGGTTGGCACTCGGCAACGAGTACGACTATGCCTCATTCCAGGCTATTCTGGATCGTGCGAACCTGGCCATCCAAACGGATGTCAAGGCCGCTAACGAACGGCAGTCCCAGCCGCACTATGTAGCTAAGCAGGGCTATCAACTACCGGCACATAACAATGTCGTGATTCCTGACGAATCAATCGATCTCCATGCTGCAGCAGCATCCTCGAGTGATGGAGGAGTTGTCGCAGCGCTCCCGCCGAAGCGTCCCAAGAGAGTTCAAAAGAACAAGGCGACACAAGCGACGACATAAACGGGAACTGGGCAGCAACCATGGACGGCATACAACATAACCAAGGAGGTATTTGACCTGCGTCAACGGTACGGATATTGCCTATGGTGCAATAGTGTAAACCACACTACCGCACAATGCTCGGACAAGGGCAAGGCACGCGTACCCCGTCCAGCTAACTCGGGAAATTGAGTTACGCAAGGAGAGGGGCGACGCCTCTCCTCACTCCGCCGGAACCGGTTGCCTTGCTAGCAACCGATATCACTACCGGGGAGCATGCGTTAGTCGCTGATTCTCGTACTACGTACGAGGACTATGCCGCCCAGCTGGTACCACCATTAGACCAGCCTAGCCACGCGCACTTAGATAGCGTATGCGCAGCCTGCACACCGTCGGCAAAAGAACCGGTCAGTTCGCCACTGATTTCCGAGGACTCGACGGCGTTTTCCGAGGACTCGACGGCGTGGTCAAGGCTTGAGGAGCTTGACCCGCTCACGAGAGAGGAGTTCGCTTGGATGCCTCTACCCTCAACTGGAACCTTGCCAAGGCCGCATTGCAACGCCTTGATGGCAAATCTACGCTCCTATTTGCACGCTGCAATACAAGCTCCGTTGACGGACGACGGAGTAGCGGTTGTCGATCTCCGCTTGCGAAGATTGACTGCGAGTATGTCACCCAAAGGTACGCCGAGACCGACACGCCTTTGCTTTATATCCGCATTCAAATCGGAAAGGCAACTTGCAGTGCCTTGATTGATTGCGGAGCATCTCGCAATTTCATGAGCCAAGCCTTTATGGCCCGCGCAAGCCTTGGCCCGCGCGTTCGAAGGAAGACGCAACCTATGCAAGTGACACTCGCGGACGGCCGCACGCAAAAGTCGATTGACCGATGCATTGACGGCGTCCCGATATACTTTGCGCCCCTTGCGTGCGAGCCGGTGTCTTTTGACATCCTCGACACCAAGTTTGACATGATTTTAGGCATGTCTTGGTTGCGTAGCGTCGATCATCCGGTGAACTTTCATGACCGAACCGTTCACATCCGTGATCGGAACGCAGTGTTAGTCCCATGTACGGTCGCGACCCCTCATACTTTGATTGCTTGTCACGTGGTTTCCGTTGCGAGAATTCGCGATGCTATAGCTGGGAACGACGTAAAGGAGATGGGTCTTGTGTTTTTACATGCTCCCCCCTCGCCGGACGGACCAGCCGTGTCACCGCCGGACCCACGCATTACTCACCTCTTGGACGGGTATGGAGACGTCTTCGAGGCTCCCACCGGAACGGTTCCGGATCGGCCCATACGTCACGAGATCACTCTCGAGACTGGTGCCGTCCCTCCGCGTGGATGCATTTACCGCATGAGCGAAGAGGAACTCGAGCTGCTTCGCACACAACTCGATGACCTTCTCGACAAGGGCTGGATTCGCCCTAGTTGTTCGCCATACGGTGCACCGGTTCTTTTCGACCGGAAGAAGAACAAGGACCTACGGCTGTGCATTGACTATCGAAAACTTAACGCAGAAACCGTTAAGAACGCCGGCCCTCTCCCTCGGATTGATGATCTCCTCGAGCGGTTGGGGGGCGCGACGTACTTCTCGAAGTTGGACTTGAAGTCGGGTTACCACCAGATTGAAATTCAGCCTGAAGATCGGTACAAGACCGCCTTCAAAACGCGGTATGGGCATTTTGAGTGGGTCGTGATGCCATTTGGACTCACCAATGCCCCGACAACTTTCCAAGCAGCCATGACAACGGAGTTCCGAGACTTGCTCGGTCGTTCCGTCCTCAACTACCTCGATGATATCTTGGTCTATAGCAGGACGCTTGACGAGCACCTCGTACACCTCCGTGTGGTGTTGGATCGTTTGCGAGCAGCCAAGTACAAAGCAAACCGCGACAAGTGCGAATTCGCCAAGTAAAAGCTTGAGTACTTGGGCCATTATGTGACGCCGAAAGGCATTCGTCCCTTAGCGGACAAGATCCAAACCATCGTGGATTGGCCGGAACCCCGTTGCACGACGGACGTATGCTCTTTCATGGGGTTGGCTGGATACTATCAGCGCTTCGTCGAGTCTTACTCCAAAGTGGCAGCTCCTTTGTCGAGACTTCAGTCCCTGAAGGTACCATTCGAGTTCGACGACACAGCTCGTGGCGCGTTCAATACGTTGAAGGCAGCGATGCAAGACGCACCGGCCCTCCGTATCTATGATCCCACCCTACCCACCCAAGTGACTACAGATGCTTCCGGGTACGGTATTGGTGCGGTATTGGAACAATTGCACACGGATGGTTGGCACCCGGTCGAGTACTTCTCCCAAAAAGTGCCTCCCATCAACACTCTCGACGATGCTAGGAAGAAAGAGCTACTCGCGTTCGTCATCGTTCTCAAACGGTGGCGCCACTTTCTTCTCGATCGTCGGCGTTTTAGATGGAACACGGACAACAATCCATTGACCTTCTACAAAACCCAGGACACGGTCACTAGCACGATCGGTCGATGGATGTATTACATCGACCAGTTCGACTTTGAGCCGTGCCACATTCCCGGTCCCGCCAATCGAGCAGCGGACGCCCTCTCACGACGGCCCGATCTTTGTGCCCTTGTGACGACGACGTCCGACCTCGACGACAATCTGCAACAGCATTTCGTCAATGACTACTAGTCCGATCCGACGTACTCTACGTTTTATGCGGACCTATCATCAGATCACCCGCCGGCTGGTCATTATCGTAACTCCGACGGTTTCCTACTTCTCCACACGAGAGGGAAGGACTTGTTAGTGGTGGCCCAAGATCGCATCTTACGGACTCATCTTCTCGGCGAATTCCACGACGCACGACTTTCGGCACACCTTGGCGTGACCCGCACATTGGCTCGCCTCCTCCAGCGTTTTCACTTGCCCGACGTTCTTCACAACGTCACGAATTACATTGAGTCATGCGCAGTCTGCCATCGTAACAAAGGTCGATCTACGGTCCCTTATGGCGAACTGAAACCAATGCCGATTCCTCGGGCACCTCACCTCTCCATTGCTATGGATGTTACAGGCCCATTCCCCCGCGAACGCCTTGGTCATGACGGCATTCTCACGGTCATTGACCGTTTCAGCAAGTACGCTCGTTTTCTTCCATGCAAGTATCGCGCTATAGCCCCCGAGCTCGCTCGACTTTTGCACACCGGCTGGATTACCGCCCATGGTGTTCGGGAAGATATTGTAAGCGACAGAGACACTCGCTTCATGTCTGCCTTTTGGACTTCCCTCATGACGGAGTCCGGTTCGACTATGAAGCCGAGTTCGGCACGGCACCCGCAGACGAATGGACAGTCGGAACGAGCGCATCAAACCGCTCAAATGATGTTGCGTACACTCATCCCTCCCGACCAGAAAGACTGGGTTGACCGTCTTCCCGACATCGAGTTCGCCTATAACACTTCGGTGCATCCGGCGATCTGCCTCACTCCATTTGAGTTCCATCACGGTGGAGAGAAGGCCCGAGTCTTCGCCGATCTTCTTCTACCACGGGCCGCCGACATAGATGTCGCTTGCTCTCCCGCTTTCGTCCAGAAGTACCAGGACTTGCTGATCAAAGCCCGTGCAAACATGCAAAACGCTCAAATCCGCATGCAGCAGCAAGCCAACCGACGTCGACTCCCATGTCCTTTCCGCGAGGGAGACCTTATTTGGGTCCTCGCCGAGGAATTCGCGCTCGAGCAGGACGTCTTGCGCAAACTCCTCCCGAAATGGTTTGGACCATGAAAGGTTTCTGCAGCAGGCGACGACCCTGCAGGTCCTTCCTTTGTGACTGCCATTCCACCGCACCTCCGTGTGCATCCAGTCTTCCATGCATCGAAGCTGGCCATCTACACGCCACCATCCGCAGACGAGTTCCCGGGCATACGATCACAGGATCCGCCCTCTATGGACAACCATCAGGAAGTTGACCGTGTCATCAGGCACCGCAAGTTTGGCAACAAGACAATGCAATACCAAGTCACTTTCAAGCAATGTGACCCGGATGACACTCGTTGGATCTCCCGCGCAGACTTACAGGCATCTGCACCTCTCATCTTCTCCGACTACGAGACTCGAAGACTTGCCAAGGACAAAGCTCGTCCCACCCGACCCACCCTGGTATCGGACAGACAACTTCGCCCTCGCAGGTAGCTCGGTCTTTTAAGGGGGGGAGTGTGTTACACATTGTGTCACACGGGCCCGGTTAGGCCCGGCAGATAGGGGTTCAGAGGCCGGTCCAGGCCCAAGGCCGGACCTTCAAACCGGAGGCGCCATTTGCAGGCCCACCGGTTGGCCTTTAGGCCACATTTCGGACCAGACCAGACGGGCAGGCCCAAACGATGTTACCGTTGGGCCTGGCGGCGTTCTTGAGGCTGCTGCCCGCCGGTCTGATCTGAATCGTCACTTTTGACGATTCAGATCACGGCTCGGCCTCGCAGCATAGAGGCCGGCCTTTCCACACCAGTACTTAGGTACCGGGAGGCCGCCTGTTCGGGTATTCTGGAGCAGCAGCACTCGGAGGAACGCTGCGCTATTCTGTTTAGAGCACAGCGTTACAGCAGTAGCGCGGATTAGCGTTAGACTGCAGTTCAGGGATAGAGAGTGATTGGGGTACTTACCTAGTACTTACCTGTGGCGCCATAGCTTCCGCGGGCTTCGATTGCAGAAGGCTTCAAGGCACCACCTTGCATCCTGCCGGTACGGTTTAGAGCCAGGACAGGGCAGTGAGGACTCTCCTCCTCCCTACCTCACCATC